GAGGATTCAACACACGATTTTCAACCAGACATTGTATTGTTAGCACATGCAAACAAGACCACCCACCATGGGTTTGTGATGCTTTCAAGAGACTCCCTGTACAGAAAAGAAAGGAATTAATTTCAAAAAGCAGCCGTTGTTATCGGTGCCTGGCAGCTGGGCATCACAGCAAAGATTGTCGTAAAGCAAGAAAATGCGGAGTTGACGGATGCCAGAGCAACAACCATAGCAGTTATCTTCATGAAAGCACCCCACAGAATGGAAAAACAAATGCTAGACAGCAGTTAGAACCGGAGGCGCCAACCTTCTATCCAAGACAGCCACCAGCCCAAGAAGCAAGAACCGAACAGTCTGGTAGAATGGACATCAATAACCAACAGACAGCCGAATCATCCACGCAAGAGAGAACTCACAAAACGAGTAAGACTGATAATGTTTCATTAATGGTTCTTCCAGCCATTATTAGCGATGGTCAGAAGAAGTTACGACTCAAAAGTCAGGAAAAATCTCTAAAAAGAAAAGGCCCGGACATTATGAAAGGCTACAGTCATGTCTTTGAAGAGTATGAGAAGAAAGATTACATAAAGGAGGTACCAAAATCCGAGACAAAGGAGCAATGGTTCCTTCCGCATTTCCCCGTTATTAGACTTGATAAAGATACGACGAAGGTCCGTGTGGTGTTCGATGCTGCGATGAAACACGAAGGCAAAAGTTTGAATGATGCAATACGACCAGGTCCCAAGCTGCAAAGAGAAGTTGTGGATGTTCTTACACGTTTCCGTAGAGCCCCAGTAGCCCTTACTGCCGATATTTCCGAAATGTTTTTACAAGTTGGTCTCCCGGAACAAGACCGTCCATATCATAGGTTCCTGTGGCGAGATTTTGATAAATCGAAAAAGCCTAACGTTTATGAGTTTTCGCGATTGTTGTTTGGCAACACGGCATCACCATTCTGCTCACAGTACGTTCTCCATACCCACGCACAAGCCCACAAAGCAGAATATCCGGAGGCAGCCGAATCCGTTGACAATTCCATGTATGTTGATGATTTATTAGATTCTAGCGAAACCGTGGAGAGTGCACAACATTTGCAACGTCAATTGTCCGACATGTTAGCCATAGCTGGATGCAACTTGCGAATGTGGTCATCAAATGAGGCAGCAGTAATAGAAAACATTCCCGTGGGCAATCGTCTACCTGCAATCGAGATCAACAACGGAGAGCTTGCTAAAACCAAGACCTAAGGAGTTACGTGGGAAGCAGCCAGAGACGTTTTTCTATTCCAAACCAAGCAACCTGATATGAGTGTCAATCCTACCAAGCGAAACGTTCTAAGTGCAATAGCCGCCCTATATGACCCACTTCAGTTCCTGGCACCATTCGTGATCCGCGCCAAGATTATCATGCAAGAAATATGGACAGCAGGGACAGACTGCAGGGTTAGATTGGGACGATGTCTTACCTAGTAATCTTAGCACGAAATGGGAAAACTGGGTATCTGAACTCCAGAGCTTATCGTGCGTTGCCATCCCACGATGTTTACGCCTACCAAACCCAAAGACGGTTGACCTACACCTCTTTTCCGACGCATCTAAAGATGCTTATGCCTCCGTTGCCTATTTGGTTTGCCAGTACACTAACAACCCCTCTACTTCACGTCTCATTGCGTCAAAGAGCCGTGTGTCACCTTTGAAAGTGTTGACAATTTCCCGCCTAGAGCTAATGGGAGCTGTTCTTTCAAGCCGTCTAGCCGCAAGTATCCTAAACGTATTAACGGAGGACAGAGTGATCTATTGGACAGACTCAGAGAATGTGTATTACTGGGTACGTAACCAGAGTCACGAATTTAAATCGTTCGTAGCTAATCGAATTGGGGAAATTTAGCGTACAACAAGTCCAGAACAGTGGCGGCTCGTACCGGGGATGGAGAATCCAGCAGATTTACCAACTAGAGGTTTATCGGTTGCAGACCTTAGTGAGAACAAATTTTGGATGGAAGGACCATCATTCCTAAAAGACGGTGAAAGTGCCTGGCCAACCTCACCTCCTAGTAAAGACGTACAGAAATCTGACCAGTGTGAAAGGCGATCAACCACGAAGACATATGCAACTAAGAACTATGAATATACTAGCATTGATCCTACACACTTCTCAAGTCTCAAACGTCTATATCGTGTGACGGGTTGGATTAAGCGGTTCATCGCCAATTGTAAGATTCGTGGGAAATCTGGACGACACTATGAAAAAACACTTTCTTCTGCTGAGATCTCTGATGCTGAGACATTTTGGATCAAACACACGCAAACAGAAACTTTTCCTAAAGGCATGAATGAAAAGTCCCTAGTCCAATTAAACCCGACAAAAGATGATAATGACCTACTTCGTATTAATGGACGCTTACGTCTCGCTGAAGACATCCCATACGACACAAAGTATCCTATCCTCCTGCCAATCACTACCTGACACGCCTTGTAGTTCTTGATGCACATGAGACACTTGGCCATGGGTCTGGTATAGAACATACTTTAACACAATTGCGAGTGCGATTTTGTATTGTAAAAGGACGGCGTGTAGTACGGAACATGCAAACAGCCGGTCAAATGATGGCCGCTTTACCTAAGGCGAGATTGTATTCGTTGCGAGCCTTCGACAGGATTGGAATCGATTATGCAGGTCCTTTTTTAACAAAACAAGGACGTGGTAAGATCAGAGCGAAGCGGTACTTGTGCCTGTTCACCTGCTTAACAACGAGGGCAGTCCATCTGGAAATGTCGTATTCATTAGATACGGACTCGTTTATCAACGCGTTTATCCGTATGTCTTCCAGGACGGGGACGCCTACCTATGTTCTCACAGACAATGGCACGAACTTTGTTGGTGCAGAACGTGAAATGCGAGAACTGATTAAAGCCCTGGACCACGACAAGATCATTCAATGTACCAGCAAGCATGATCCCGTCGACTGGAAGTTTAATCCTCCATCTGCTCCTCATTTTGGCGGAGTCTTTGAGGCGATGATTAAAAGTGCGAAGAAAGCAATCAAAGCCATATTGGGAGATGCAGATATCACAGACGAAGAACTACACACAGCCATATGCGGAGCTGAACGACTGTTGAATTCCAGACCAATCACATACGTTAGTTCAGGTCCCAACGATGTCTCACCACTTACACCGAATCATTTCCTCGTTGGACAAATTGGAGGATCATTTGCCCCAGAAGCACTGGACCAAACAGAAGTGTACAACCCAAGAAAACGATGGCATCGCGTGCAACAACTGCTGCAACAATTCTGGAAACGATGGAGAAAAGAATTTCTTCCGCGTCTCAACGTCAGAAGAAAATGGTTTCATCCAAGACACAATTTAAAGGAAGGAGACGTATGCTGATTGCAGAACTTAAGGACAAACGCGGAGAATGACCTCTCGGTCGTGTAATGGAAACCTATCCTGGTGCAGACGGCCTTGTGAGAGCTGTGAAAGTGCAGTCAAAGAGCAAAGAGTATATTAGACCTGTACATCGCTCGTGTCCCCTTGAGTATTGTAGTGACTACGTCTCTATGACGCCACGGACATGATACGTCACTAGGACATAGGAGACATGGTCACGAAGTGTGCTCGGACAGGAGATCAGTTTTTAGATTGTGAGCAAGGTAGTTTGTACTAAATATTATAGTTATACAATAAAAGCATCAAACACAACATTGGCGACGAGGATGGCCACTTCAAGTGGGTCTATGGTACAACCCATGCCACCTTTTGATCCGGACAACGAAATTGGAACAAATCTCGCTCCAAAACGGAAGATATGGATAGAAGATTTTCAGATGTATCTAGTCGCAACGGGCATAACTGACAAGGAACGACAACGTGCATTGCTTTTGTATCAAGCTGGCGCGCGGGTTCGTGAAATATTTCGCCAGCTCTCGAACACTGGGGATGATTTGGAAACAGCAGTGGCAAAGTTGAACGAATACTTTGAACCCCAAAAGCATCGCCTTTATGAGGTATACAAATTTCGCCAAGCCGCTCAAGAGAACAATGTATCAATTGATCAATACCAGACTCGGTTGCGAAGCCTAGCCGAACGATGCCAGTTTGAGAATATGGACTTTGAAATTATGCTACAAATTGTCCTAAAAGGATCATCAAGCCGACTTCGAAAGCAAGCGTTACGGGACCCTAAAATGACGCTCAAAGATTCACTGATCGCCGGTAGGCAGATAGAAATGAGTAACTTTCAAGTGGCCGACATTGAACAAAAACAACTTGAACGGCAGGAACTAAACGTTCTACGGAAAACACGCGTCAACAGCCTTCCAAAGGCACTTGTCGAAATTGTGGCGGAGAATGGCCACACGAGAAGGGCAATTGTCCTGCTCGTGGCAAAGAATGCAGAAAGTGTGGCAAGATGAATCACGTCGCCAGACAATGTCGCTCGTCGAAACCCGACAACGAAGTACCGAATCATTATCCAGAGAATAATCACCGGGGTAACAAGATCCGACCGGTTGTTGGCCCTCCGGATAATCAAAGTGAATCCAGTTCAAGTGATGAGTCCAGCTATTGTTATGCGGTCAAGACAACGGCTAAAAATAACCCCACTACTAAGGTCGTAATAAACAAACATCATGTGAAATTAGTAGTAATATAGGGGCCGTTCGACCCTTATTTTTGGGGCGGCGTGGGGCGGCGCGGGGCGGCGTGGGGCGGCGCATCATCATTAACATACGTCATAATTATATGCAATGACGTCACGCGGGCAGGTTTGGACAAGATCGGGCAAAATTTGCTGACTAGGCATTTTTTAGCGTCTTCCTCACGTGTGTGATACAATAGGGATTAATTTTGGCTCACTATGAACTTTTATGCAAGTGTCTGTATAAAATCTACAAGTGTTTTGTAGCAGGCATAGTTCTGTATTTGTTCCACATCAGTCATGGCGTGTCTACACGGTAAAACCACATCTTACAATTTATTGGAAGGAATTTTTGCGAGTGCAGTCGCACAAGGGGTCGAAAGACTCTGTGTGTTGAATAGTTTGTGTCCCTCACATGGCAAAATTGTTATCGAAATTAATATATAGCCGTATCTTTGCTCGGAAGAGATAAATTTCCACATGTATATTGACGGATTTTTCGTATGTTCCATAGCGAGGAATCTTTTCCTTACAAAAATCAAGACATATTTTAAACTAAACAGTTCCTAATCCCGAGTTGTCAACGTCGTTATTATGGTCAATATTTACATGTTCAAGATTATTTAGCAATCCTCCTACATACATATATACTGTTAAGATGATCATAAGAAAGCTTATCAAGAGTAGAAGTTAGAATTGGAACAGTTGTAATATTTTTTGACACTATCGTCTGTTATAATTTGTATCAATAAACATGTTTTAAACTTTGCAAATGTTGCGTTGTTATGCGTTGCTAAGTCATTAGGAGGTGTGTAGGTAATTAAGGGGATTAAGGTAATACGAATTTGCATAACTAAGTGTATCCCGATGGATAGATAGGGATTATTTTTAACGTAGGTATACGTATACCTTAAAGAAGGGCGTAAAGAGCGGGCTTTGCCGGCAAAAAATTACACAATATTTCAGTTTTTAAACACATTTACTTCTTCAAAATGTTTTACAAAATTTAGTAAGGTCTACTTCTAAGAGCGTAACGTCTAGGTGTTTTTGTTATTTTTAAAGAGTTCTCATATTCTTGTCTATCTTCTGGGGATAACTTTGCAAGTTTTCCCGGCTTCATTGGAATATATTTCGGTCTATCGCTCAATATAAAACGTTCATAATCCTCTCTTGCTTCCGGAGTCATTCGCGCTAGGTCACGTTCGGTCCAATCTGCTGGGTCGACCCAATTGTGAAAAAAATTGCGCTTGAGTTTTGGTCGTTCACCTTCTGTTGGTGGTGGCGTAAGGAAATTAGGTTTAGGCGTAGCAGGCACTGGTGGTGGTGGTATTTCCGCTGGTACAGGCGTAGCATGCACTGGTGGTGGTATTTCTGCAGGCACTAGTGGAGTTGTCTGAACAGGAGCTTCAGCTGGGACATCCATCTTGTTTTTGAATGTGAGAAACCGATTTAGTTGATCAGAGTATAATTTGCTTTTTTCCACTGCGCTTAGCTGTGGTGCATCCATAATTTCTTTCATTCGCTGCTCGGCATCATACATGGCATTTACAAGTGGTGGTTGTCGATACGACTGTTTTTGTATAAACTTTTCAATCTCGCCTGGAAGTATGTTGGTCTTGAGTCGTTGTTGATCATCTGTTGTTGGCTTTAAATCCAACATCAAAT